AAATGACATCGAAAGTAAAGGACAAACATTTGTCAACACATCGATCAGTCATATTACATTATTATAATATGGGTCATCGTTGTGCTGCTGAAATTGCTCGACAAACAAAGATCCCCGTACGTACTATCCAGTATAATTTGGCGAAGATTCGGAAAGAAGGTAGTGTGGAACATCGACGTGGTAATGGACGACCTCGAAAGATCTCAGCTGAAGATAATGTTGCAATTGGTCAATGGATTCGACGAAATAATGAAATTACATCCACGGAAATTGTCGAAAAACTTCAAAAAACCAAAAATTTAAACGTATCACGATGGACAGTGCGGCGTCAGCTTTATCGATTAGGTTATAAAAATGTTTTACCTCGAGGAACTCCAATGTTGACCAATGAACAAAAAGACAGACGTGTTCAATGGGCTTTGGTACACAAGAATGATGATTGGAGTCGTACGGTATTCTCTGACGAAACATCTTATCAATTATTCAGAAACACGATTCGTCGTTGGTCAAAATATGCTGATAAAGAAATTAAAAAAATTCCAAAGAATAAACAAAAAATTATGGTATGGGATGCTTTTAGTATCAAAGGTCAAATATCATGTCATTCTTTTCGAACAATTATGGATAGTCGTCTTTATGTTGAAATACTTCAAAAACATCTTATTGGTGGTGCAAGGAAGCAATTTGGAGGTCGATGGAGATATCAGCAGGACAACGACCCCAAGCACACCAGTTGAATAGCACAACAATTCTTGGAAGACAAAGTACCTGAAACAATCGACTGGCCGAGCAATAGTCTAGATATTAATCCTATCGAAAATCTATGGCCCATACTTAAACGACGTGTAGAAAAACGAAAACCATCAAATATCGACGAATTGGACCAGTTTTTACACGAAGAATGGAAAAAAATCGATTCGACAATTATAAACAATTTAGTATATTCGATGAAATCGAGATGTTTAGCAATTATTGATTCAAAGGGAGAAAGAATAGATTATTAAGTTTTGTAGTTTTGTAGTATACTATGTATATAAACTTTTTATGAAAAAATGGATTTTCTTTGATAACAATAAATAAACGAGATTTGTGAAAATTTAACGGCAATATTTTTTGCACTCTACTGTATCTTTTGGAAGACGCACACCCACACCCGTTACCAGTTACCTGGGAACGGTAACGGCCCGTTACCAGTTACCGGGGAACGGGGTAACGGGCATATAATAGAGGTGCCTTTCGGTCTTCAAGAGGTACTATAGGGAGGATATCCTTGGGTTCTCAAGGGCTACTATAGGAAGGTATCCTTGGGTCCTCAAGGGTTATTATAGGGGGATACCCTTGGGTCTGCAAGGGCTACTTTCAGGATAGCCTTCCAGTTTTACTATTAGGACAACAGATAGGCATGGTCAGGCCGATCATAGGGTTATCGAGGAGACTCTATCGATTGATGAGTATATGTATGGGTCCTCACCAATCCCATCACAAAGAAATAGACGCTCGCCATTTGATTGGTCGAAAAAATGGACCAATCAGATTTCAAGAAGGGTTTTCTCTCTTATTGTCAGGACAAGCGATGGGCATGTTCGGGTCAATCATAAGGTTATCGAGGATGCTCTATCAATTGATGGGTGTATGTATGAGTTCCTACTCAGTTCAACACGGCGAAATAGAGTCTGGACATTTGTCCTTGAG